AACACTCAACAGACGTCTGGGGACAGAGGAGACCAGTTTCTCAAGTTTAGAAATAGGAATGCTCTCCCATTCATGTCTAATACAGGCCTCTAACTGTTCAATCGTCTTGGGCCTTCTTTGTCACACCTTCCTCTTTATGATGCACCAAATGTTCTCTATAGGTGAAAGATCTGGACTGCAGGCTGGCCATTTCAGTACCCGGATCCTTCTCCTACGTAGCCATGATGTTGTGATTGCTGCAGAATGTGGTCTGGCATTATCGTGTTGAAAAATGCAGGGTCTTCCCTGAAAGAGATGGCGTCTAGATGGGAGCATATGTTGTTCTAGAACCTGAACATAGTTCTCTGCATTAATGGTGCCTTTCCAGACATGCAAGCTGCCCATGCCACAAGCACTCATGCAACCCCATACCATCAGTGATGCAGGCTTCTGAACGGAGCGCTGATAACAACTTGGGCTGTCCTTGTCCTCTCTGGTCCGGATGACATGGCGTCCCAGTGTTCCATAAAGAACTTCAAATCGTGACTCATCTGACCACAGAACAGTCTTCCATTTTGCCACACTCTATTTTAAATGACCCCTGGCCCAGTGCAAATGTATGAGCTTGTGGAGCTTGCTTAGAAATGGCTTCCTCTTTGCACTGTAGAGTTTCAGCTGGCAACGGCGGATGGCACGGTGGATTGTGTTCACTGACAATGCTTTCTGGAAGTATTCCTGAGCCCATTCTGTTATTTCCTTGACAGTGGCATTCCTGTTTGAGGTGCAGTGACGTTTAAGGGCCCGGAGATCACGAGCATCCAGTAGAGTTTTACGGCCTTGACCCTTACGCACAGCAATTGTTCCAGATTCTATGAATCTTTTGATGATGTTATGCACGGTTGATGATGATAATTTAAAAGTCTTTGCTATTTTATGCTGGGTAACACCATTCTGGTATTGCTGCACTATCTTTCTGCGCAACAATGGTGGAATTGATGATCCTCTTACCATCTTGGCTTCTGAGAGACACTGACACTCTGAGAAGCTCTTTTTATACCCAATCATGTTGTCAATTGACCTAATTAGTGTTAATTGGTCTTCCAGATGTTCATTATATGCTCAATTTCCTTTTTCCAGCCACTTATTGCTACTTGTCCCAACTTTTTTGGGATTTGTTGACACTGAAATTTTGAATCAACATTTTCCTTTAAAATGTTACATTTAGTCAGATTAAACTTTTGATCTGTCATCTATGTTATATTACGAATAAAATATTGACATTTGCCATCTCCACATCATTGTATTCAGTTTTTATTCACAATTTGTTTAGTGTCCCAACTTTTTTGAAATCCGGTTTGTATATAATATATATAATATATATATATATAAAACAAATAATATATATATATAAAATATATAGGTATATATATATAGATATCTATATATATAAATATACCTATATATTATATATATAGTACATTTTATATATATATATTAAATGTATAATATATATATATATATTATAGGTATATTTATATATATACACATTTATCTATCTATCTATATATAGATATAGGTATCTATATATATATATAGATACCTATATCTATCTATATATATAGATACCTATATCTATCTATATATAGATACCTATATCTATCTATATATAGATACCTATATCTATCTATATATATTGATGGATAGATATATAGATATGTACAGTCTACTTAGCTCCTGAGCTAATATTTATGACATTAGCTCTAGAGCCAATAGCCTTTAGCCTTGAATTCCTGTGTTTCAGTCAAAAAGTTTTGCACTGCAAAATAATGGTGTTGTTCATAAGTGAAAAATGCAACAAATGTATAATTTTTAAAAGTAATTATGAGTTTTCAATAGTCACAAATAACAACCATCCATTATTTTTACCCACTTCTTCCTTTTCGGGTCACAGGGGTCACTGGTGCCCATGACATCAACTTTCAGTAGAACACAGGAATTAAAACATTAATGTCCACGAGCGTGTGTAGTCCGAGATCTCTGTAACACAAGAATGATCACGCAGAAACTTATTTTCAAGATTTGACCAAAACAGATGCAACTCAGTCATTTCTCGACTCCATGATATGCGTGCTCATCTGCACGTGCTCATCAGACTCATGCTGCACTTCCACGTAATGTTTTTATGCTATTGGTGCTTAGTGTATTTTTAGTTGTTGTTTTTCTTATACATTTTATTGTTGGATGTAACTGGGACCTTGTGCACATAATTCCGCTCCACCACATGTACCACGAGGTGCGAATGACAATAAAGCGTCTGACTCTGCTGCTCTAACCTACAGAAAGATGGCAGGTGATATGCATTCCTTTGAGGAACGCAGAACCTTTAGGTCTTTCAGATACTCCACACTTGATTCATGTCAAACAAAGTACAACTTCCAGCCTAGCATATTTGATGTAATGCATATCATCTGCCACCTTCATACTGGTTTGTCCTAGATTATGAAGATATTGGGCTTTTACTTGCATACGCCTACTGCAGCCAAATGAGCAACATGCGCCCCCTCATGGACAAACTGGGTAAGGACAACCACACAGAGTGCAGGGCGTCAAACTCAACGTTTCAAAATCAAGACCTTTGTTGTTTTTATTGAACACAACAGAACTTTAAAGGCCCCACTGTTCTACTGATAAAACTAAAGATGAAGATGATTTGATTTTCCAGTTTGCCGACGTTCAACCCCGAACACAAAGAGCTGGTGGAAACTCTACAGAAAAGGATTTTTAAAGCCGTTGTACATTTTTGTCCTTTTATTGCCAGCTGTGTTGTTGTGCAGCTTCACTTTTCCTCAGATCAACATTTACAAAAAGTCAACAGAACGATGCATAAACCAGGCTCGTATCAATTGTGGGATTTGGAATCGCACATAAAGTTACAGACAGGCATGTTTTATGTGGAAGCAAATCCAGATTTACTTTTTGTCTTTTTAAAAATTTTTTTTTTTTACCAAGGCACATTGGTAGAAAGAAAAGGAGTGGACAGTGGCTGCAAAAAGGCTCGTGTTGATGGAAGTCATGGGAGAAACGTGACGGAGACCACCGGGTTTAGGTGAAAATCTAATTTAGGTAGTTGCTCATCGTATAAATAAATCCCAGGAACTTCTCCTCGCAGCCTCCTTCTCGAGTTTAAAAACCGAAGCAAACGAATCTCCTGTGCCCAGAAATGTCTAAATATCTGAAATTACAAAGGCTGCTCAACACAAGAAGAAGAAAAAAGACTGCTGAGGAACTTTTATGAGCAGGACCTAAAGGCAGTGTCTCACTGAGCTGGTGAGCAGCATTCCTCACAGCGTCTCTGAAGAGTTCTTAATTTATTCACTTGGAGCTGCAGAGGAGTCTCCGACACTTTAAGGATCATCAGAGCTGGACTTTGACAGACATGGAAGCTCACCTGACTACAAACATGTCCACGTCTAAAAACCACTGATAAATTATTATGGAAACTGGTCCAGATTTCCAGAGTACTCCATCAGGTCACATCACAACCATGACAGTGGTAGCGTGGGCTGAGGCTGGTATAATGTGGGAGTACGTGGACAAAACCACGTCCAGAAATAAAAACAAGACGAGCTCATAAAATAGAACTAGCCTCATAGATCGCTGTTGCAAACAGAATTCAATAAGACAGAAAATGTCTATTTTCCCACCATTCTGCGTCCCCAGCAGCAGCCCAGTGAGACACTAACTGCATGTGCAAACACCACGTTTAGCTGTCCAACACATTTGTCCAGCTCAAACGCAACAACCACCTGAAGTGACGAGCTGTTCGATCCCATTTGTTCCCCTCCTGAACTGAATATTAAAATTGTAACGTGCATCAAATTATATTTTTGTAACCATTTAAAAACAGGTTCACGCTGAGAGTGGAGCCGGTGTGAACTGTAAAATAAAAACACTATAAAGTGAAACTTGGTGGAGAGTGGACTCTGGAATGTTAATAGCTCCTGAAATTTGAGATCAACATTAAAGACCAGGCTAATCGTTTTAGCGATGAGAATTAGGCAAATAAAATCGTAATGAACAGGAAAAAGTTTGTTTTTCTCAAAAAACTGGTTCAAATGACATCCAATACACAAACTGATCAAAAATAAATAGATGTATACATAAGAAACTTTTAATTTACTTCTATATCTCACATAAAGCCTCTTGTACCAGCCAAACATGTTCCAGTACTTTATATTCTGGACACGTTCTAAATTAACTATCAACAGCTTTTTGGGGACAAACATGGCGGACTGGGTCAGGCAGCGAACGCCCAGCCTTCCTACTCGCTTCAACTTCAGGTTGCAACAAATAAGCTCAAATGGAAACAGCGTTGGCTCAGTGTGCCTGAAACAGGAGCAGAACTACCGACCACCAAAAATGCACGTTGCAATCACATTTCAGGTTGTGAGAAATAATCCTGCCGTGTTTTTAAGCGTTCACTTATAACAGTGTAATTCTGCAACATGGGCCGCACTTCTTCTGTGGCTTTCAGTTAAAAAAAATAAAACCGAAACAGCCCTTGATATTACAACTCTTCTTTCAGTATTTATGCGTTTAATACCAAAGTCTCAGCAGATTATCACAGAGAGAGGCATAGGGAGGGGAGTTCAGCAGGCTGGGTTGCTGCCAAACTCACAGCGGACAAAGAAAATCACAACATATCTTGTCTCCGTTAGGAGACGCAGAAAGGAGTGGGAAAAACAAAAAAACAAATGAGAAAAAACACAACGGCAGCCTTTGCAAAGCCCTCAGTCTAGGCAAACATAGGGCAGGATGTTCAATCTGCTTTCATCCCCATGAGGGTCCAGTGCTATACACTCGGTCCAATCGTACCAGGTGCCCTTGGTATCATAACAACCGTTAACACCCGGCCAGTTCTGTGTGTGTATCCTGTCCAAGTCCTCATCTGTCACCTCCCGGCTCACGCCTGGTAAATCCCCTTTTGTTTTGTCCGTCTGCAAAACGTGCATTTTCCTCGTCTCCTTGGTCACTTGTTCTTCCTTTTTCAGATATTCGGACATAAAAAAGTGTGCACTAGGGGCCTGAACCCCTGAGGAGGTGAGCAAGTTGCTCTGAAGGTTCAAGTAGGACTGGATGATTTCGTTTCTAGATAGCTCCTTCCAGTTCGTCTGGTGGAAGGGGTTTGGGCTGGGACCTGGGGTTGAGGTTGTGGCAGTGGGCTGTTGGACAGGGATCTCAATTCTCTGCCTGAACTCTGCAGGATCTAGAGCAGGGGCGGTCTCCCCTTGAGAAGGTTCTTTATGCACCAAAGGTTTGATCTGACCTGTGACCGGGTCAAATGTTAGTCTGCGTTCTTTTAACCGCACAGGCTTAGTCAAATCTTCTAATTTCTGGCCGTCTAAGTTAACAGAGTAGTCTCTAGATCTGTACTTCCTTCTTTTATGCTCAGAGATTGGTACCACTGTCCCATCTGTGTCATCAGACACAGCCGCGCCCCCCTCAAACGTTGATCGTTGCATTTCCAAGTTCTGCTGCGAAAGAAAAAGGGAGGGGGAAACAGATGGGGAGTCCAGTGTTGCAGATATGTCTTGAGCCGGGCAATGCGAAGGGACTTCTGATGAATTAGAGTGTACTGTAGACCTATGAGAAGGAGGAGGCAGCTTCTCGCTGAGCGACGCTTGTCCTGGGGAGGACAAAGGCTGGGAGAAAAAGAGGGGAGAGTCTCTGGAAGATGGGCTTGGGATCGGCGTTCCTTTCGCTGCATATGCCGAAGAACGCTTGGATACAGAGTCTTGCTTCAAGCTCCTTGGACTGGAGGCGACACTGCGGGGACTCCTCGTTTGATAATAGCTCTCTCCTCCTTCATCCAGTTTAGCCTGTTGCTGCATCACTGCAACTTTAATCAAAGAGGAGGTGCTAGGTGGTTTGGCCATGCCGGGGGAACTGGGGCGAGGCTTGACAGCATTGACTGGAATTCTGTTGACTTTGTCGTTTTCAAGATGGTCTGTTCGAGATCTGTCTGGAGATGGGACCACCTCCTGGTCAGGCAGGACGTTTGGACTGCCTGCAATCCCATTGGTGGGTGGTGTGGCAACAGAATTATCATATGCTGACATCTTGGCCATCTTTTCCGGTAAACGCACCCCACTGTCCTTGTGCTCTGCCCGCCGCTTGCGGCTGCTTGATTTCTCAGCTTTAGGTGAATATGTGTTATGAACATCATTTCTGATTTTGACCTCAGGGACTCCTTTCCCTGATACGGAAATGTCCGGAGGAAACGACTCCGTTTTGCAGGGATGAGAACTGCCATTGGTAGATCCAGGGACGCTCGCAGACACAGCCGGCCCAGGTTCTATTAGCTTTTGCCAGTTTCTCAAAAGTTTCTTGGCACGTTTCCCAAGGTCTTCATCCTTGGTCTTCTTCCTTACATCATTAATTAATTTTCCAAGTCGTGTTTCCTGGAAAACAATGTGTGTGAGAGAGAAAATCAGCACCACTATACTATTTAAAGAAATAACTTATAAATCATAAATTCTTACCTCAAGAGCTTCTTTGGTAATGGGATACTTCTCAAGACAAGCAATTACTTCCAGTACAACCACCATATTGCATATCTGCAATAAAGGCAAGTAAACAGCTTGTATAACTTAAGTTTGTAGCAAAACTACTCAGTTCAGCCTATCCTGGAATATGCAACAACAAAAAAACAGGTGTACTCCCTGAATGATGAATGTAATCAATCTGGAAAAGACTGACAACTCGACAGGCCGATTTATCGGTGCACCCCTACCGACAACAATTTATATTCTCAACAGAGGAGAACAGTCCCTTGCACTAGGACGATAAATATAAAAATAATATTGGGATTTTTGATTCCTAACGAAGCACTTCGCTCTCAGACTGCAGGTTTACTTGCGGTTCCTAGAGTTTCTAAAAGTTGAACATAAGTAATAAAAATAAAGCTTCCCTCTTGTAAAACCAACTTCAAGTTTTTACCTTTCAGACGAAAACTTTTGTCTATTTTTAAGACTAGGCTTAAGGCTTTCTTTTAAATCAATCCTATGGGGTTTCCTCAGCTATCCCTTAGTTATGCTGCTACAGGCTTAGACTACTGGAGAACAAACTGAGCACACCTCACTCTGCTCCTCTCCATGTTCATGTGTGCAAACATTGCTGTTTTAACACGTTTTTCTTTTTTCACACTGAAACTACACCTGGACCAGACCTTCTGGGTTTGTCTCTTTTCTGTCCCCTCAAACCCAAGTGGGACTAGGCAGATGGCCTCTCATCCTGAACCTGGTTCTGCAGAAGGTTTCTTGTTAAAACTGAGTTATTCCTTTCTACTGTCTCCAGTGCTTTGATCACGATGGTGGTGATGAAGTGAAGATTTTATGCTGGCTTCCTTTGATAGATAACTTTCACTCATTAGCATTTCATAATGAATTGTATGTCAATGTGTTGCTCTATAATTCTAGAATTGTTCTAGACTTGCGCCGCTCGGGGTGGCTGCGTGTTGGAGCAGCTCTGTAACTTTCATTCTCTTATCATCACCTTTTTTCGGATGATTACTTCCTCTGGTATTGGATGCTGTGCAGCTGGAAGGATTTTTATAGAAACTTTTCTACCTTTGGGCATTTGTTATGATGCGTAACCATGGCGACAAAGTGTTTTTCTTTTAACAACCAGGAGCATCTGATTAACATATCAAAAGCTCAAATACATCAGCTACAGCCCCAAAGGAGTAGAAAAGGAGGCACCGTGGTTGAATTTCCATCAACCTGGCAGCTGTGCTCGAGTACCTGACCACCAAGATCATGGAGCTGGTGGGAAAGTCAGCTTTTGACAACGGGAGGACCAGGATCATCCCCCAACACCGTAAGCTGGCTGTCCGTGGTGACGAGGAGTTTGGCAGACTGCTGGGAGGGGTGACCATCGCTCAGGGAGGAATCTACCCAGCAGTCGGGCAGTTCTGCTACCCAGGAGGACCGAGAGGCCCACCAGATCTGACCGCAAGCTGGATCCAGGTGGATGGATCAGTATCTGTGGCCAGGTTCTTTAAATTCACTGCATGAGATCCTTCCTGCCCACAGCTCTGCATCTATAACAACTCTTGAACGAAACCAAGATGATGAGCTACGACAACACTTACTTTCCCTCTGGGATTAATAAAGTATTTTTGAACTGAATTGAATAAGAATTGCACAGACTTTATGCAGAGCTGAATTGCAGCCATGAATTGTACTTGTTTTTTTTTTTTCCTCTTATGAAGAGTCTTGAAATTATTTTTCTTGGAAATCTGTGTTGTCTAAAAACACTGAATTAAATTTAATTCAAAGACAGAACGACGATTTTGGAGCAACAACTCAAAGTAGCTGCGTATTTGAGAAAACATCCAAACTGGAGCGTGGCTTGTGAGCACATTTAGTCTACAAAGAGCTCTACCTTCAGTCATAATTCACTTCTCATCGATAGTGTTGGGCAGAGGTTCAGTGGACCTACCTGTATCAGCTGGTTGGCTGTGGCTACATTTCAACTTAACTTGAGAAGGACGGACCCGACTACTTCCTAAACCGTTGCTTAGCCATCGAGCTAATGCTTAATTTCGACTTATTATACTCTAAAATTGGTTGATTAAACAATACACAACTAAGCGCCGGCTATTTGGGAGAACTTACATATAAACTTAAACGCGAATGAGCATTCCTTGAGACAGTGAGTGGGTTGTGTTCCTTCGTATGTACGAAACCTGCTTTGGAGTTGAAGCTAGGTTAGCAGCTAACATGCTAACGGCAGACTCCTGTCTAATCGTGGCTAAGGGTTAGCTGAGCTAGCTTGTAGCTAGCTGTCAACTCCCATGAAGCTTTCTGTCACAGAGGCGCTCGACACGTCGGTGCAGACAACGCAGTTAGGTGTTTTCTTAAAACAACAACAACAACGAAACATTTAACTGGGAGATGGTGATTGAACCGCGACATCGAGTTACACCAGGGCGAAGATAAACAAGCTGCCGTTAGCTTTAGCATTGCTCACATTGCTCTGACTGTCAATGGCCTGCAGCAGCCGGTCCTTCATCTGCTGCGGGGTTGCTGGGACCGTTGTCATTGCCTGTTCGCTGCGATCCGGGGAGATGGAGGGAGGAATCCTCCAAAACGACAGCCGGGTGACAATGTTGTCTCAGAAGCCGATTCGGGAACACATCGGGCCACCGAACAGCATATTTTCTGTAGCATGCGCGGTAGACGACTCGGTTTATCTCACATGGAGTAGGAAATACCCTGCCTGACTTGGTTTCTGCCTGCTTCGGCGCTCCTCTAACTACCAGCTGCTGGATCTCTCAACGGCCTCCTACTGCATGCTGGGATAGCACGGCTGCGTCATCACGTCTGTACGTAACCAAGGAAACGTTGCGCCGCTGACCTGATGTGTACTGTGCTCAATACACCAGGTAGAAAAATCTAACAAAGTCAGGTCCTCTGGACAGATTCTTCTTTGTTGAAACATTTCGACTTCCTCAGTCTGAGGAGCTGCAATAAACTCAGTCTTATAAATAGCACCTTCTCATAGTGGATTAACCAGTTTATTGTTGACAGTCAGAACTAGCTGTGCACATGCTCAAGAAGGACCATCAGCCTAACAATGGATCATTAGCACACTGATGGCTGTTTACTACTCACAGAGGGCTGAGTGATACTAGCAATCACAGCATTGTAAGAGGGGGACAGTTGAACCCGGAGGCCTCCACCCCTGTTTAATGATGGACGGTTTCTTTTCACAAAGATGGCCTCCTTTACTCCTCTCTCATTAGTTATTGTGAAGTCCTGTGAGCTTCGTTAGCACTCAGAGCACGTGTTCACAGGGACTCTCAGGTACCACCACATCAAGTTTTAGCTCCACATCTACACTGTTGTGTTGTTAAATGTCAGTTATCTGTTGCACCCATCTTGAACTGGTGCAACGTTAACATTTGATTAGTTATAGATGTACTTTATTTATTGTTTTCTGGGAATTTCAATCAAATCTGTCCAGTTTGGATGTTTTCTAACAGGTGATGTTGATTCGAAGAGTTTACGACATAGTTTTAAACAAACTATGTGCTGGGCATGACTCGAAGGCAACGCTTAAGAACAGGTCTTGTAGGAATGTTTTAGTGCTTGGAGGAAAAGTTGGATTACTTCCACAACATATTTGAGCTTAACATTAGAAAATGTTGCTGTCTTGTAGCCATTTTTATGTTTGCTAGTTTTGTTTAGTTGTGGTGGCCATCTTGAAAGGTGCAGAGTTATAGATGCATTTATCCCCTTTTTGTTTGTGAGATTTCAATAAAATCTGTTCAGTAGTTTAAGAGATATGTTACTACTGACCACTCTGGGGCAGCTGTGGCTGTTGTCCTCCAATGCAAGAGTTGTGGGTTCGACTCCACCAGCAGTCACATGCTGAAGTGTCCCTGGGCAAGACACTGAACCCCTCGTTGGCTCCGATGTGTGTCCCATCAGTGTCTGAATGTGATAAAGCTCTGATTAGTCTTTGTAGAGATCTAGTAGAGTGCTGTATGAATGAGTTAATGAGGCACAGATTGTGTTGTAAAGAGCTTTGAGTGTTTTGATCAGATAGAAAGACATTATATAAGTACAGTCCATTTACCATCTTACTCTTTGTTGTCTTTATTCTCTGAACTCCTGGCAAAAAAATATGGATTACTGTATGTTCTTTCTATTGTTTTTGTTTTATGTCAAAATGAATCACACACATGCAACAAAACCATAATGTTTTCAGAATTAACAGATTTCAATCTGGTGGAAATGGAAGAAACTGCCCAATGACACGGCTCCACCCTGCAGAGCTGATCTGAGAACAGCATTAAGAGACATTTGCAGGCAGACTGATGAAGACTGATGAAGACTACTGGTTGTCATTAGTTAGCTCCTCACACACTTCAAGCTCTTATTAACTCCACACGTGGTGCATCAATTTACTGACGCCACAGGGTTTTCTCATGATTCCACCGTTGATTTTCTGAGGATTGCGTGTTTCCTTAATGTTTTCCTCTATTTGATCTAAAAAAAAAAACAATTATGATTGACTATAACAAATATATTTCTTTCTGATTTTATTGTTTCTTTGTTTTCTTTCCCATAAAAAGTGCCAGTACATCTGGAGCAGCCATTCTTTGTTCGTGTCTTTCCTGACCTCTCTAACTCCAGCCAGTAGAGACCGACAGCTGCTCATCTTTTTATTTATTATTTATTGTTCTGAGGGAGCGGTGGCACAGAGGCTAGAGAGGGTGGGCTTGTGATCGGAAGATTGCTGGTTCAACTCCCGATATCGACAACATCAAAATGTGAGTGAGAAAGGTGAAGCATCCACACCTGCCTCCACCCTCATTTGCTCCGCTCTGGGCTCTTGAGCAAGGCCCTTAACCCCCACCATCTGCTCCCCCGGGTGCCCTCGATGGCAGCTCCCTGCTCCACACAGAGGGCTGTGGTAGCTCGGTGTCTGTGGTTGTGTCAGGAAGAACTGTTCTAGAAATGTGCTGCTCGAGGTGGCTGCATGTTGGAGCAGCTCCTACTTTCATTCTGAGATTTTGCTTTTGGAAACTTTAATTCCTCTTTTTTCTGGATGTAAATTGCTTTCTCTGGTATCAGATAAGAAGAAGAAGGTAAGACCAGCTATATTGTACGGTCTGGAGACAGTGGCAACGACAAAAAGACAGGAGAAAGAACTGGAAGTGGCAGAAATGATGATGTTGAGGTTCTCCTTATGAGTGACAAGGATGGATAAGATTAGGAATGAGATCAGAGGTACAGCACAGGTGGAACAACTGAAATAAAGTTAGAGAGGCCAGACTGAGATGGTTTGGACATGTCCAGAGGAGGGACAGTGGGTATATTGGTAGAAGGATGTTAGAAATGCAGCTGCCAGGAAAAAGACAAAGAGGAGAAATATGGATGCAGTTAGAGAGGACATGGAGGAAGTTGGAGTGAGGACAGAGTGAGATGGAGGATGATGACTTGCTGTGGAGACCGCTGAAGAGGGAAAAGCCGAAAGAAGAAGAAGAAGCTTCCTCTGGTATCAGTTGCTGTGCAGCTGGAAGGATTTTTACACAAACATTTTTTACTTTTGGACATTTGTTATGATGCGTAACCATAACAACAAGGTGGTTTTCTACAACTGGGAGCAGTTGATTAACATCTCAAAGTTCAAATATTACCTCAACTACAGCCCCAAATCCCAAATGAGTTGAAAAGGAGGCTCCGTGGATGCATTCCCGTCTACCTGGAGGCGGTGCTCAAGTGCCTGACTGTCTGACCGCCAAGATCTTGGAGTTGGCGGGAAATGTGGCTCGTGAGAGCAGGAGGACCGAAATCGTCCCCCGGCACCTGCAGTTAAGTCTGCGGAGATGGAGGGCTCGACAGACCGCTGGGAGAAATGGCCATCGCTCGGGGAGGAGTTCTCCCCGGCATTCAGGCAGTCCTGCTGCCCAAGAGGATCAAGAGGTCTGCTGGGTCCGGATGGACGGATCGGCATCTGCAGCCAGATGTGTCGTAACCGAGGGGAACCCAGATTTGTATGAGACCCGGAACGAGACAGACTCAGGTGGAATACAAAAGAAACAGTGTTTATTTACAAGTGAAAAGACAACAGTTCTGGTACAGCTCCTCTGCAGCTCCTGGAGGAGGTAGAGGAGGACAGTCAGGACGAGGAAGAGTTCCAAATGGTTGAATGATTGTTTTCTGTGAATCTCTTACAGTTTGATCCAGAGGTGGGTTCCAATCCTCCGGGGAGCTCCAGAGAGAGAGTCCAGCGGCTGGCAGGGCAGGCACTGGCCGGATTAGAGGCACCAGGCAAAAAGGGATCCAGGCACAGGAGAGGTTGAACCAAGGAGGGACCCAAGGAGGTCTACAAACCAAGAACAGGTCACGAGGAGATCCAAGGAACCAAGAACAGGACACGAGGAGTCAGGAATCAAAGGATCACGAGAGGTCCTTTGAACAGGCCGAGGAATCAGGATAACTAGGAACAAGAGAACAAGGTTAGTACTGGAGAGACTAAGCCTAAAAGGCTTGAAGCACAACTACCATGGAAGGTGATATGCTCCCGCGAAGAGTAGCACTGGACTGCAGCCTTTTGTAGTAGGAGAGCCTCCTCAGTCTGATGGCCGTCAGGTGTGATTAATTAGCGGCCATCTTGGAGGAGGAGCTGCAGGCAGTGGTACTCTTACAAGATGGACAGCTACAGGAGATCCTTTCTGCCCAAAGCCATCAGCATCCATAACAACTCTAATGAAACCAGAATGAGCTACAACAACAATTAATTTCCCTTTGGGATTAATAAAGTATTTTTGAATTTGAATTGAATTGAAGAACATCCATCCATCTATTATCTTTTACCTGCTTCTTCCATTTTGGGGCACGGGGGTTGCCGGTGTCCATGTCCAGCAGTCGAATTGAAGAACATCCTGTGTCCAAACAATCACCAAGTCTTCGTGCGACTTACTTCGCTGTGGTGACCCCTGAAGAAGGGAGCAGCCGAAAGAAACAAAAGTACTCTGTTAATTCCCAATGATGAAATTAATTCTCTGCATTTTTCACATTGCACATGTGAAGCAGAGAGCTGCCATTTAAGGAGCTCGAGGTGCAGCTGCAGGGGTTAAGGGCCTTGCTCATGGGCCCGAGAGGAGCAAATGAGGGTGGAGGCTGGTGTGGGCATGTTACAATTTCCACCCTCATTGATGTTGTTGGTCTGGGGAGTTGAACCGGCGACCCTCCGATCACAGGCCCACCCTCTCTGACCTCTGCACCACCACTCCCTAATCTCCCACTCCACATCTAGAGGCTGGTTCTGGTTCCGCTGGAGGTTTCTTCCTGTTATAAAAGTAGTTTTCTCTTTCCACTGTCACCATTGTCCAGTTCAGGATGGGAGACTGCACAAAGTTCAGACGTGACACAATCTGCTGGCCTCCTCACATATAAAACTGTTACTCATGATCATTTCACCATGTATGTTCATGTTTGACTGTATTTTGACTTGAACTCCTCTTTTGTTTTGTTGTTCCCTGATATAACTTCTGATGCTTTATAAAAAAACTGGACTGAGTTCCCAAAGAGCTGTCAGCTCTCAACAGAACCAACAGTCAAAGAAAAAGGAACCGTTACTCAGTTCCTGTGTCGGGTTAGTTTGATAGATGACTTTGTATTTCCTAAGAATAAACTGTTCATCTTCTGTAGATGTTTTTCAGGTCTTACAACTCTTTCTTCCTCCAGGTTTAGTCCAGATTTATCAAAGAAAATCTTTATCAGGGCTTCAGAAAGCTGGATAACAATTACTCAAGAACATTTATTAAATA